TTACAAAAGGCACTGTCAAATCCTAATGTTATCACATGACATGCATTGAATCCATCGTGGACCCCAAGGAAGAAGTATGCAATAGTTCAGCTACTGAATGCGGCCTAGCTCATGATTTCTAATTCCCACTGCTGTATTTGTATTTTTGAAGAAGTGTTACCCAAGGAAGACAATGGAGAGAGAAAGAGAACTAGTAGTAATGGTTACTAACTTCTTGCATCGGTACCATAAATGATTGTCTAATGGGAAAAAATAATTAGGAAAAAGTTCACATAGAAATCATACCTGATGCATTGTCTAGGCAGGTGATAGATAGCCAGCTTTTTGTTTTTGTTTGTTTGTTTGTTTTAAGATAGCACTAACTTTCGTCAGCAAAGATGTTCTTTCAGTGACCAGGGGCTCTGGTTAAAAAAAAAGAAGCAGTAATACTTCTCCAAGAAAAGAGCTAACAGGATGATTTTTCTTCCACTTTTCTTTGAGGTTGCTCATGCCTAAGTTTTTGTGATGGGATTTATTATGATTTCTTGGTTAGCTGGAGGGGAGGCCTATGCACAACATATCTTATTCATTTTCTAATTACCCCCTGAAAAGGCAAGCACCCCTGAAACAATAAGCTGGCTAATTTAAAAGGCTACAGCTAAGTAAAATGAAAGGCAATTTTCTACTTATTTTAAAGGCTTTAAAAGTGCAAATCTTACCCTTGGAATCAGCTAGTCATCTGATCTTAAAATAAAAAGCAATATTGCCTTGCCTTCATAAAAGGCAATTTATCTCCTTCTGTATACCATTCTCATCAAACGTGTTCTACTTGTTAGTTTACCCCTTCGCTGTGAGAATGTATATGATAATGGGTGGTATAAAAATCAAGAAATTAGTCTCCCAACAGGGAGCCTGCTAACAACACCATTTTAATCTTATCCTTCAAGCAGTCACCAAAACATATTAATTGCAATTTAATTTATGCAACAAATATTTCAATTTAATTATGCTTAATTTTCGTGAAGCTATAAAAGTGTCAATAGTTCTGACATTGTTTTTTTCTTATAAGGTTTCTCAAAATGAAAGAAAATCAAACGCTGTTTCCAAAAAACATTATGAAAGATTTCTAATTACTGCTTATGTTTTTGAAAAATTGCTAATCTAGAATTCCCAAAATAACATCTGGGAATATATAAACTTGTAGCTTTATTACCCAACATTTATAAATCTTAATAATATACATGCATCATTAATATAATGGCATTCTCACAGGAGGAATTTTTTTTTTTTGTAATTATAGGATATATCAACAACTGTCATCGAATGGTGCATTTTGTCTATAGAAATGTTTTTACTTCCTCTCAGGAAAACTGAGACAAGAATAAATGAAACTGATTGCTGCTGATACACTGTGCTGAAGAAAAGACTGTTTACCATTGGCGGAGTGGAAAGAAAAATGTCAAACTACCCAATCTGAGCTAGTAGTCAGATTATATTAATTATATTCGGCAAATATTTATTAAGCTCTTAGTAGGTGCAAATCCTACCCAAATATTAAGTCTCAGATGCTACTTGCTCCAGGAAATTCTTCTCTCTTCAGATGAAAATTAAATTTCCCTGCACTGAATGCCTATGGTGCATAATTATACTTTGTCATAGGTTTATTTATTTATTTGTCTATTCACATCACAGTAATTGCTTTACAAGTTTAATGCTGCCATTTAGACGGTAAGGTTCCTGGGGGTAGATTTTAGGCCCTTTGTGTTTATATACCCCATCAATCACATTCAAAAATACTAGAACATGAAAACCTATAGGTGTAAATAAAATGTTCTGGATGCTGTTTTGGAAAAACATTATTACTCGAAAAGCCTTTCTATAAAAGTTGTATAAACCTATATTTTGAAATTATTTATTAGACGAATTCTAGTTTGAAGATAGCAGAGCAGTGAATGTCTTGCCCTAACTTACCCTCTTAGAAATGCTTCCCCCTTCTAAAAAAAAAACAAACAAAAAAAACGCAGAATTAAGAATATACACTAAACTATGTCTTTGGTGAAACTGAAAGACAGCAGTGATCCTAAATTATAATTTACACTGGGAAACAGAGAATAGTCCCAGACGGGCAAGGAATGAAGAACAGAGAAATCTTCAGAGGGGATCCCAGAAACCTTAGGCATTGGAATCTTCAAATATCTCAGCAGGCAGAGGTAAGGCACAGGGCTGAAAGTCTCTGTAAAGAACACTTACCCTCCAAGCTCCATCCAGGTTCCCCATGCCAGAGAACCTAGTCCCTTCCCCCCAGGTTCTTGGGGAGTTGTTCCAACACTGGAGGACT